CCGGGCAGGCGGGAATCGAACTCATGCAGAAGTGGCTTTAGCTTCTTAGTGCTGTGCTTTAACCCGCTGCGCCACCAGGGAGGGCCAGAAAATAAACTATTTTTTAAAAAGATTTACTTATGCTTACAGAACTGGATTACAGGCCAGAAGTGTGGTGGGTGAGAAGATTCACCAGAGATAGAGTGGGGAGCAGAACAGGCTGACTAATGAAGTACACTGCTGAGGGAACCAGTGGGCAGGTCAAGAGAGGTCTGCCAAGCTATGTGAGTCAGCTCCCTTTTGGGGGATCGAACTTGTGCTGCAGTAGCTTTGGAGAGCTTCATAATGTGGTGCTTTAATCCGTTGCGCCACCAGGGAGAGCCCAAAAAGAAATTATTTTTAATAAGTGTGGAGAAATACAAAAGAACACATCAGAGTCCACCCAAGTAATGACATGCTCGTGGGATAGAATCTGTCTTCTTTGAGCCCTGTCCATTAGCTAGGGATATCAGTGTTCTCTGGACTGACAAGTGATTATCACCAGCAAGCACCAAGGGGAACCTCATCCCTCCACTGGCAAGGTTATTCTAATGTCTTTCCAAAAGCGGTACAGAGGCTGGAGGAGGCAGCTGTGGGGGACAGTGTGTGACTGCCCACTGTGCCTAGCAGTCAGCTCCCCAAGGAGAAAGTCTGAGAAAGCCAGCAGCACCCCAGAGAGCCCTCCCTCTCTCCCTGGCTCCTGTTCTTTCCAGCCAGTTGACTCAACTCAGAATCCGGTGCGTGACAAGGTGGCTTCAATTTTTTCCTGCTTTTCCCTGTGGCTCTGTCACCTAGCCAAGTCAGAGAAGAAAGCAAATCTGGTGCAGAAAGATGAAGGGGACTGGGAGAGGGTGTCTTTTTCTTCTCCTGTATCAAAGAATGGACAACTTCTCCCTTCTTACGCACTACCTGCAAACAGAAGTTTCTTTTCTTTTTTTCAGCCTCTGTGACGACATGTTTTCTTTTTGTTTTTTAAGCATGACACGCTATTCTCTGGGTATAAACTCTTGAGGGCAGGCAGTGCATCATATACATCTTCATGTCTCTAGCACCTGGCACAAAATAAATGGGCAATAGCTGTTAATTAGTGAGTGAGTAGAGTAGAAAGAGATATTAATGCTAAGCCTGGCTTTTACAGTGGCTAAAAGTGACCTTGGGAAAGTCTGACTGTGTGAAGTCCAAGTTGAATCATATATTCTGGCTAATAAAGAGTTATAGAAGGTATTTAGAGGCTCCTGGTGTTAAAAGAATCAGAAGAATATACAGTTAACACCAAAGTTATGGTGGATATATTTTGCCCTCTGAGAAATCACAAAGGAAAGGTTAGGATTTTCAGGAGCTTGCGGTTATCATCTAGATGAAGCAGAACTTCCAGCAATGATGGAAAAGTTTTCAAATTGTATTCTCCAACACGATACCTGCTACTCACAAGTGACTCTTGAGCATGTGAAACATGGCTAGGGTGACTGACCGACTAAATTAAAAATTGTATTTAATTTTAGTTAATTTAAATGTAAATAGCCACAGCTGCCCTCAGCTACAGTTAGAGCTGCGGAGGGTGAGCCCCATGAAAGCAGCGATTTTTTTCTCTTCTGTTCACTAGTAGACAGTAGCGCCTAGAACGGGGCCTGGCACATGGACACCTCTCACCACTACTTCCAGCCAGAGGAAGGCGGCTCCTGCAGGCTGGAGGCCCAGGCACAGGGCAGGCCAGCTGGTCTAGGGTTTCTGAATCTTGGAGCTGGACAAGGAAGACAATGAACAGCCACCCTGGTGGTTCTTAACTCTGGTTGGATGTCCAAGCAGGCTGGAGACGGTGTTGAAGTACAAAGTCCCGGCTCCACAGCAATGGCCTGAATCAGTCCCAGAGGTGGGGTCTGGGGGTGGGTAGGAAGAGCCCACTGGGCGTTTCCCCAGGGGAGGGCCTAGAGAGACCATACCATTCCTTTCCTGGGGGGTTTAAATGGAGACAAGTCTTGTTGCCTGAACAAAACCTCCTGGAAACAGAGAGGTGTCCATTATGACCTTTAGACATTGGTTGATAACTGCAGGATGAAGAAGATCTGCCAGGCCTGGCGAGGCCAGGCGGGACAGTGGCACCGGACACCACACGGGCGGAGCACAGCTGCTGGCAAGCCCAGCCAAGAGCAAGCCGGTGGTGTTATCAGAGAGAGGGAATTGAGCTGGAAAGGGCCGCTAGCTATCTCCTCCAAACCCCTCATTCTCAGATGAGAAAACTGAGGCTCAGAGTGTGAGTGACTTGTTAGAGGTCACCCAGCTAACAAGTGACAAGCCAGGACTAGAAACCCAGATGGCTACACACTTATTCAGGGCCCTTTCCACATCAAGCATTAGCAAAATAACGTGCATCCTACTATTTTGAACTCTAGATGCAGGGTTGAGATGTAGATTAGCAGCCTCGGAGGTGCTTAATGTTCAAGTCACAGAGAAACCTAACAGAAAAGCTCACTGCTTAGTAAGAAGGAGCACATCGTGTGTGAGCTCGTGGGAAGTGCACGGGAAACTGGACCTGAACAGGATGGTGTAGGAGGACAAGAGATTCCGGTCTCTCACCCCCTTTTCTAACAAAAGTGTGTTTCCCCAGAAAGATATTTGAAAATCATAGGATGAGGGAATTTCATTTCACTCAAGACGGGAGCTTTAGCAAAATGCGATGAAAGATGGAGAGGAAAGTGATCTGAGATGTCTCTGCTTCTTAGCACTGAGAAATGGCAGCATCAACAGATGACAAAGGAAAATACCAACTGGGGAAATAGCAGAGGCTGAGAAGACAAGTGGGGGCTATTTTTCTCTGGGCCTGAGCCAGACCTGTCAGCATCAAGCCAGCCGGGACCCAGGCTGGAAGGAAACGTGCCTTGGGCGGAAGAGGAGTTAGGCTGGCAGCACCCTAGGGCAGCACCATGGCCTCTACCTGCTGGGGCCTCTGAGGGCTTGGCAGGAGATGCCCCTCCGGCTACCTCTCCACTGAGGCAGAAGCCACTGGAAATTAGCAATAAAGCGACTGCTTCCACAGAAATAGAAGTCCGTGCGTGCCTGATCTAGGTTGATGTAGAGGAATTTATTTCTGGGGTGCCGCTCCCTTGAGGAGGAAACTCAAGTCCAGCTTTGAGAGAGTTTCCAGAAGCTTAAGTTACTCTGTGTCAGTCATCATGGTAAGGAGGTTATCTGAGGTCCCCATGTCGCACCCAACAAGGACATGTGTCCTGTCTCCTCTCTTCATCTTCCTCCCGGGCACCATGCAGAGTCAGCCTCGCTCACGTGGCTGCTAGGTCCAGCAGCCCGGGCAGTGGACACAGCACCCTGAGGTCTTGGGTCCTGCCCAGGAGGAACCTGGTTAGAGGGAACCGCGTCCTGGCGCGTAACTGCGTGGGCGGAGAGTCAGAGGACAGTTTGACGGGGATTTAGTTTGGCCACCCGACGCCTTCTCACCCTCAACGAAGTTTCCCTCTCCCTCAGCTTTTTGCTATTTTCGCCTTCGGGTCCTGCGGCTCCTACAGCGGGGAGACAGGAGCAATGGTCCGCTGCAACAACGAAGCCAAGGATGTGAGCTCCATCATTGTTTTGTTCGGCTATCCCTTCAGGTGAGCGGGAGTTGGTCTGCACCCCACCCGCCTTCCCACGCCCCCCACCCTGGGCAACCTCTCACAGGACTGGCAGGGCCTGCTTGGTCTCTCTCTCTTCCAGTCACCTGAAGACCAGGTGGTGTGTGTGTTGCTCCAGAACTGCAAGGCGGGGTCTGTTCTGCCCTTTAGGAATCTGGGATGCAGCCCCTCCCCACCCCACCCCCACCAGAGAACAGCAGGAGAGAAACTCAGCTAGTCATTCTGTTGATAGCGGCTCCTAGAGAGGGAGGGGGGGGGATGAGGAGGAGTCTGGGCAGGTTGGGCAGATGTCTCTGACCCTCAGCAGACTCCTCCCCACCCTGGAGTAAGGAAGATTGTTGTCACTGAGGTCCCTGTGGTCAGATGTGGAGTGCTCACCTGGTATCACCTGAATGTAAGGAGGCTCACCTGACCAGGAGGAAGAAGAGAGATTTAGGAGCTTGGGGAGGAGTTATCCAAGTGTTCAGGGAATGGAGATTATGCTCACTTGCCAGAACTTCCTAGTACCAGCAGCTAAATTTGCTTTTCTCTCTTCATTTTGCTCAGTATGGCCTCACCAGGGTTCCAACTTTGACTTGGTCACTGTGGGGCTGTGTTTTCTGGGGACGAATAAAGCCCACCTGCTGGTTTGGCTGCCAGGCATATATGGATAGTGTGTTCAGAGTGGCTGTGACCTAAGGGGCCTGAGACAGACACCGTCAGTATCTCTGAGCAGGGTGGATGAAGGTGGGGTCGTGTTTGAATGGGACATACGTGTGACCAGAATTCCAGGGAAGTTCTTATCTTAACTGTGGGGTTCTCTCCAGATACAATTCGCACCCTGCAACATGCCCCCTTTTTGTCTCTGGAAGAGCCCCAGAGTGAGAACTAACACAAGACCACTTCCGGGCCAGGGGCAGCCCCCAGGGAGAGGATGCCCCAGCTCGACATGACCTCCCCTGCCGCCTGCAGGTTGAACCGGGTCCAATATGAGATGCCCCTCTGTGACGACGACTCCACCTCCAAATCCATGCACCTCATGGGGGACTTCTCTGCCCCCGCGGAGTTTTTTGTGACCCTGGGCATCTTTTCCTTCTTCTACACCATGGCTGCACTCGTCCTCTACCTCCGCTTTCACGTGCTCTACACAGAGAACAAGCGCTTCCCGCTGGTGGTGAGTGGGCCCAGGAGAGGGCCGGTGGGGTGGCTGGGGCCCTCCTGGATCCCTGACAGCCGCATGTGGGACCTCCAGAATCTCTGCCGCCTCTTAGCTGCCAGTCCCTCAGGCACTGTAGCTGCCATGGTTCCCTGGGCCAGCCGAAGGCCCAGGTCTCAGGGCCCTGCCTCGCTAGCCCCCTCACCTGTCCTGCTCTCAGAGACACATGGCAGGGTCGGGAAGCAGGCTCTGCCGTCAGGCTGCAGCACTGCTCCTTACTAGCTGCGTGCTCTCGGACAAGTAGCTTATCCTCTGGGACCCTGTTTTCTCAGCTATAAAATAGGGATCAAACAATACCCATTTCTTAGTACTTTAGGAGAAAAAAATGAAAGGGCCTGTAAGCTGTCTGGAACAGATATGCCCCCGTGAGTGTTAGCTCTTGTTGATATGCTTCCCCTTTACTCTTCCCCTACCCCAGGCGTGCAAGGGTAACATTGTCTAACAGTCTGCCCTCACTCCCTTGCCACGTGGAGCTGAGCAGTGATGAGCGATGGAAAGGCTGGGGCTGCGGGCGAGAGTTGGGAGTTTAAGTGTCACTGGGTTTGAGGTACGCTGACCTGCAGATGTCGGTATACGCGGTCACCTGCCCTTAGTTCAAAAGGCACGAGCAGGCGTAGCCAGGGGGCAGGATCCCTGAGGGGGCAGTGCGCAGAATCCGCAGGGGGAGCTAGACGACCTGAGGCCTAAGTGTGGGGCAGGGGGGGGCGAAGCAGCTCTCCTGGGGGACCCCAGAATCACAGTGCACGGCAGGGGGGAGAAATGAGGAATGCTGGGACCCTCGCTGAGAGTATTCCTTTTCCCTCTGCTCCTCCCAGGACTTCTGTGTGACAGTCTCCTTCACCTTCTTCTGGCTGGTAGCTGCAGCTGCCTGGGGCAAGGGCCTCAGCGACGTCAAGGGGGCCACGCGGCCATCCAGCCTGACTGCAGCCATGCCCGTGTGCCATGGAGAGGAAGCCGTGTGCAGTGCCGGGGCCACGCCCTCCATGGGGCTGGCCAACATCTCTGTGGTGAGGCCTGTGTTTCCCCGGGGGGCCTGGGGGAGGCCGCGCCATCCTGGCTGCCCAGTCCTGTCCCGATTAGCAGTTTCTGAGAGGAAAGAGCGGGTACCCCCATAGCTGGTATTCCCAGCACCTGCAGCTGGTGCTCCCCTGTACCTAAGGCTGGCTGCTTGCCCCACAGATGACTCTGAGAAAGCATTTTGGGTGGGGGGAGCCCAAGAAACACTCAGCCTCCTGGTCCTCCCTCCTCCTGTGAGCTTCCTTCCTGTCCCACTCACGTCTCCCCTTTTCCAGGCTGGGTTCTCTGTGGCTGCCTCCCACTCCTCCTGCCACACATGGGCCTGGGAGCAGAGGGCGGTGGCTGGCATCAGAGACGGGAGGCCACCCTGAGTGAGTGAGAAGGGGTTCGCTGTCACTCGGGACTCCAGACTGAAAAGGGGGTATGGGCCAGTGGTGGGCCCAGTGTGCACATGTTTGTCCGCAACAACTGTCAGAACATCACAGATAGTTGGTAAGCAGCAGAAGCTCAGCTTGTCAGATGCTCCCAGCCACCTCATCTCCACCCTCAAGATGGCCTGGGCCCCGCCCCCCCCACCAAGGCCCAGCAATTGAAGGGTTTAAGGGCCAGTACACCAGGGAGCCTCCCACACCTTACTGAAAACCTACTAACAGATTCTCCCCGCCCCCTCAACACTTTATTGTAAAAATGTTCACACATAAATTTGAAAGAATTTTACAAGGAACACTGACACCCTATCACCTGAACTATACCATTAAATCTTACTCTATTTGCTTTATCACATCTCTATCTGCCTCTCTCCATCCATCAATCCATTTTTTTTAATGCATTCCACAGCGAATTGCAGACCCTCTAAATACTTATAATGTGTTTCATATTTGGAAGACATGTTCAAGGATAGCCCTGCCTGGGTCCCGGGCTCTAGGGAAAGAGCACCTTGGACAGCTCTGGCCACACCCACCCTGCGGAAGGCAGGCGGGCTGCACTGTATTGTGGGAAGTGCTACTGGAGTCTAGCGGCACTTCTGCTCCCAGCCCTGCTTTACACAGGGCTCTGTTCCAGGGACCAGATTCCTCCAGCAACCAAGCCACAACAGGGGTGCATGCTGTGGACAAAATGAGACACCTTCACCAGGGGTCCCTTCTTGGCTGATGGCTCTGAACCCCACCTCCACCTCCAGTTCTAATCTCCTGGCCTCTTCCCACCAGGCACTCACCCACTCTGCTCCCAACACGCCCCTTTACTATTCTCACAAACTGCCCTGATGTCTTTGCAGCTCTTCGGCTTTATCAACTTCTTCCTGTGGGCCGGGAACTGTTGGTTTGTGTTCAAGGAGACCCCATGGCATGGGCAGGGCCAGGACCAGGGCCAGGGGCCCAGCCAGGAGAGCGCAGCTGAGCAGGGAGCTGTGGAGAAGCAGTGAGCAGCCCCCTGGCCACTCCCGAACTGGACAGCGCCTCTTCAACCACCTCGGCTTCCAGGACCTCCCTCTTCCACCTCCAGCTTCCCTCCCTCCTGTCCTGGGCTTTGAGCTTTGCCATGCGGATGGGTGGGCAGGCACCAACTGTCGGAAACCTCCCTGTGATTTCCTTGCCCTCCTTTTGCTGAAGCCCTAGATGGCAGGAGCCCGGTACTTCCTGTCTATTCCCTGGACCTGGGCATCTTGTGGTCTTCGTCATACTCTCACAGCCTCTGAGAGCCAACCGCTGCATAAAGTACAGGTTGGGGGCAGACCAGACTCTGCAGACTATTCCCAGTATCCACTTCTATAAACCTGTCTAGCTGCAATAAAGTGGGGTGGGCAAATGGGCCAGCAGCCTTTGCCCCAGTTCTTTGCACGGAGGCCCCCCCAGTGGTGTGATGGTTCTTTCGCTGCTGTCACCTATCCCCTGCGTCTGCACTGTCTCCAATCAGCCTCAGCTCTGAGTGCTTCCCACTCGCCCTGTGGCATCTCTGCCCACAGAGCCCCCCATAAAGGAAGCTGGGAAACCAACTAGCCTAGAAAGCTCTAGAGGGTCCTAACCAGGAGGACGCAGATGAACTGTAACTGAGTTGCAACTCCAAGAAACTGAAGCCAGGGAATTTTCTGGATAATCAGTTTCTTCTATTCACTCAATCCTCCCAGCACTCCAGGCCCCTGAGGGCACTTTCTAGACCCTCTAAATCTGCACTTGCCCTAGGAACCCCTTGCCTTCCTCCCTGGCCACCTTCTTGGGCTTGATGTTACATTTGGGACACGAGATGAGAGGTCAGGTGGCATCTCCATGTCAGATGTCCTGCTCCCTGCCCCAGCCTCTGAGCTTTGAGCCCGAGGCACTTCAGAGCCTCTGTGAAGTCTGCCTAGGCCTTCCTTCCATTCCCACGGGGCCAGGAAGGGGCTGTGGAAGGGCTCAAAGGACCATCCCAAGGTCCAGCTGCCCTGAGCCCCAGGACATGGATGGGTGGGTCATCTTCCTCACTCTGCGCTCACTTCCTCTCTCTGGCTCCTTCCACTGTCCTTCCCTGGCCCTTCTTTCAAACTTCCCCCTTTCACCTTTCAGAAAGGGCAAGCCCTTCCCCTTTGCCCTTCGTCTTGGGGCGCTATCCCCTCCCCAGTCCAGGGCAGGCCGATGCTTTTGGTGCTTCTTCACTTCGGGACCCAGTTCCATATTTGTCTTTGGTGTGTCTTCTCTTCTGACACTCCCTCACTCCGTCTCTGTACCCCAGAGCCTAAGAGTCTGGGCTAAGGGCCATTTGCCTCCTGCTTAGCTCAGAACACTTCACTCTGTCCTGGCCATAGAGTTGTCCAGGGAAGGACAAAGAAGGAAGAATCCAGCCATTTCCCTATCCAGTGCCAATCTGCTTATCATCCCCAAAGTGAATGTGCCCTGTGCCAGTCCCTCCTCAGGAGTAGGTCAATCCCTCTAACTCCTGACCTACCTAGTGCTGTCCACAGCAATGTGCGTGTTACTGGGGCACCCAGGAGTCAGGACCTATGACTTCAGGCCAATCAGTTCTTTTTTTGGGTCAGAATTTACCCATTTGACAGGGGGGGAGTATGAGATTTACTTTCCCAAATGTTCCAGAGTCCTTCGAATTAGGTTTGTTTGTTGTTTTTCTCTCTTTTTTAAGTTTTTGGGGAAGGGATATGGGGAGGGAAGAGAGATGGGGAATGACAGTATAGCTAAGTTTGGAACTCTCTGTCCTGAACTATCCCATGTTATTCAAGGACAAGGGAGCACAGATTTGCCTATAGCTCTGAAGACACAAAGAACAAAGGGGTGACCTTCATTTTCCTTCAGGCTGGCCCCCATAAAGTTATCTGCGAGCAGCTTCTACTAGAACTTTGGATTCTATGTATGAATTTGTAATTTTTTTGAAACATGATGGATAAAGTGTTCTTACTTTGGGGTAGAAGTTAGCGACTGGCTCTTCAGCTAGGGGAGGGAGGGAGAAAGCAGGCAGTAACACACTCCTGCCAAGGACTCCTAACTCTTCCTAGAGCAGAGAGGGCTCCATTCTTTTCCTGAGGAGGTGGGCTTGTTCTCAGCCAGAAGAGGCTTGATTCAGACTATGGCCTTTCGTTAAGGCCACCCTAAGAGGAAAGGCCATTTGACCTCATTACCTCCAAAGGGCTTTCCTGGGCCAAGTGCCCTGGGCAGGGTTGTCCCCAGAGGACAGACTCATGTCCCCTCCAACCAAGGCTGGCATCACAGCTTTGCCTAGTGGGGCCCAAGGTAAGAGAAGGTATCAGGTTTCTCCAGCTGCTGCAGGAAGCCAACAGGCAGGGCACTTGCCCTTTGCCCAAGTAAACCGCCCCTGCCAAAGTGCCCACCTAGGACCTTCCTGAACATGAGTTCCTCCACCATCGTGGTCACAGATCTCTTACCTCCAGGATTGCAGGTCAGGGGTTGGGGGAGAATGTTGCATGTTGTTTTCTGGTGCTTGTTATTACAAATTTGAATAAACAGTGCTTTGAGCATTTGCCATGAAGGAGCCAAGACTGGAACCTTTCTGGGTATATATATTTTTTCTCCTCCTGCCTTTGCTTTAAGTTCTTGGATAAATGTCAACATTTCCAGGACCTCATCCCACTCTTCTCTACACTGCACCCCAGTCTGCAATAAGAGTCTGCAGGCCAAGGAGCTGCTCCTGGCAGGCCCCAGTTGGGTAGCAATTCCTCTTTTGGTGGTACCAATTAGTCCAAAGTTACTGAGACTCAGCAAATTTGGAGCAAACTCAAAAGGCAAGAGTTAATGGCTCCCACAATGCTGTTTCCATTTGCTCTCCTCCCATCTGTGACCCAGACACACTTCCTGGCAGGAGCCGAGAGACATGTGCTTTGCCCTCTCAACTGTAAGGTTCTTGCTGAACAAACTTGCACCTCTGTCTCCCGTCTGACAGTGACATGCTACATTTACACTCCCTAGAAAAATATACTTGGGTCCAACATTACATTCAATTTTGCTAGGTTCCTGGGCTCCCCGGGGACCATTGGTGGTTCTCAGGTTAAAAACCTCTGCCCTCAGAGATTATCCTTGAAGAAATAAAACCTTCCCTCGGTGGAAATGAAAAGAAACTGAGGTCTTGAAGTCATAGACTTTGACTTATCAGCCTCCAATTCGGTTTCCCCTTAGAAAAATGATCTCTTTTATGATGTGATGGGGGTGGGGTGGGGACAGGCTTTTGTCTCTTGATTGTGTGAGGATGGGAAGAAATATCAGCTGAGATGGGTGATTGAGGTATTTCCCAGGCCTTAGTAAGGAAAATGACAGATCTGATGAGAAAGCTCCTTATGCAGAAGCTCCAGTAGCAGCGCTTTCAGCAGAGAAAATATTCATTAGAAAAAGAAGCCAAAGTGATGGATGGAGTCAGGGTCCCGCCAGGGTTTAGGTAGAGGCGGTACAGGGTATCGATCGCAGTTCTTATGTGTGAGTGGGGGGGGAGGAGCGGGGTGGGGGAGAGGTTGGGGAGGGGTTGGTTAAGACGCATCAGCAGAAATGCTGCAAATACCAGCAGCCTCAGGGCCACCCCAGTTCCGGGGCTGGCGCTGGCTCAGAGACAGCTTCTGTCATCCTGACAGGTGATCTTGGTCAGCTCAGCCAGGTCCTCCCCAACCCAGGCAGCGCTGCTCTAACTCTGCTCTGCATCAGGGCAGCATGGGTTTCCCACAGAAGAGACACAACACGGAGCGGAGAACCCTCCCCCAATCCAAACCCTGTGTCCTTCAGCACATCCTGCAGACTCCCTCCCCTTGCCCTTCTGATTCACAGCACCCACCTCCCTGCACCTACCCTATTCGATCTACAGGGGAGCAGAGTCGCTTCGTGGCCGCCAGCCCAGGAAGGGGCGCCAGCCAGCTGGCGCAGGCACAGCTATAGAGGGACGTCTTGGGCAGAGAGGTTTGGGGTTGGGCTGTGCGTGTAATGAGCTTGGGAGAGTGAGCGGCAGCACAACGAATGTGTGCACAAGGGTTAGGAGGGGAGGTCGTGGGGCTTTGGGGTCTTTCCCCCCCGCAATTGTGCATTTCGGAGGTGCTCTCGCAGCAAACTCGGTAGGCAGTAGGATTCCCTGTAAGACTACATTTCCCAGTAGCCTTAGCAGGAGGGAGGGTGAGGGGAAGGCAGCCTGCGTTGCGCTTGCGCGAAGAGTGAGTCGGAAAGGAGGGTAGGGAGGGGGAGGCGTGC